GGGCGCGGGGGGGGGGGAAAGGTCCGTTTTCTTGCTTTAATATTTTAATATCTTCAACGAAATTACTGAGACAGAGAGAGGGATTAGACAGGGTGTCTTTTGTCTTGCCCCAGTTAGAATTTCTTAAGCAAATCCACTGGGCTTTCAACATGAAGCCAGAAAATCGGGATTTTTTAAAAACGTGGCGGGAAACGGGAAAAATTGTTATAAAGCATGATTGTCACGCTGAAATCGGGATGTCTGGTCACCTTAAACTAAGAATATGTATATGAAATACATAAGTGAAAAGAATTACTTGCTTCATTTTTATCAATCATATCCAATGAAAACACAAAATATGTATTGGAACTAATCTTTGCAAACTACTACCAGATGTTCATTCCCTAACCCTAAGCCTAACGAGCCTCACAAACCAATCTTCCTGAAAGATATGTCTCACTCCTGAAGGTACCAATAAGTAGAATAGCTATATCAATAAACAAGGTGGGAAAAACTACCAAGTCAAGTTAGCTTAATGCTAATGCTAAAATGCTAAACATATGTGAAATGTGTTACAGAGTTAAATTATCATAGTGTATAGCTATAAATCATAGGCTGCTGGAACCAAAAATTAGGCCAAACCAGGGATCTCATAATGAACATTTTCCTCTGGAAAGGCAACACTGACAAAATAAAACCTCGTTATATTTTTGTATTATGAAGGGTTCTATTTGTTGTCACAACTGCAGCTCAAACTAGAGAGACAGCAGTACCCTGGCTTCTATTCCACTCTCCACCCATGGTAAAATCTTAATTGTAGTTACCAATTGGTTGATATTTCCAGACAATATGATAATTGGCATTAATAAAACTGCAACATTAAATTTTTATTACTGTATGATTCCCTCACTAGAAACAAATGCTCTCTTGATAATTTAGTAATAACTCAGAGATCCAAAGCCCACTGAGATTATTTTGGGATCTGTATGTTGACAGAGTTTCTAATCAGATATTGATTTATGATTTTCCCCTTTTGGGGGATGCAATGATAGTCAAATGTTACACAGGATAAATAATTGTATGGAAACCTCAGGAAAACATATAGTAGAACTAGGCATCATAGAGATAATGGGGCTACTAGCTAGAAAATGGCAATTTAATTTCCCTTTCTTCTTTTGATATCTAGCTCAATTTATCCCATGTTTTAACATTAGTATAATTCCCTGACAGTTATAACCAGTAATAAAGAACAGACGCAGGAATAGACCACTGTCATAGTGTTTAGAAAAAAGAGCTGAGTTTATAGACAGGAAAATGAAAATTTACAGAGTGTAATTTTTCAGTCTTAACCAGGTCTTGTTTTTAAATTGTAGTTTGTTTAAGAGTTAGAAATACTAAATTGGGAACTGCATAATTCCTTAATTTAACAATCAATAATTCATGTCTATTGTATATGTGAGCTCAGCTGAAATGAAGATGCAAATTAAAATTATAACCCATATAGTTTTAGTTATTTGTTTCACATTTCTGAACTACCCATGTCTCTCAGAGAGGGACTCTGTTGCTCTTGCCATTTGTACTCATTTATAACAAAAATGACTGCAGGTGTACTAATTTTTATATTGAATGTCCATTGTTACATTGGAAAGTGGTCAGTATGATATAAAAAAAGGGATCAACACTTTTTAAGGGGGGGAAATTCAATTTTTTTCTTGAAGAAATAAATTGATAAATAAAACAAAAATATTCAACTTTCCAATATAATTTTGAATTAAAAATACAAGATTGCAAGTCTTGAAGGGAGCAATAGCCTCAGATGGAGAATATGTGATCTAACATGTCAATTTTTTCTTAGGTGTAGGTAATCAAATCAGTGAGGAAATAGCCAAAGATGACAAGAAACTTTAATGCAAAGTATTGATCTTACTCCTGGTGATCTCTTACTCTCACAAGAAATAATAAAGCACTCACATTGAAGCCTGAAATATTTAAGTGGCCCGAGGGACTTGGAGCTTTCTTGGTTTCATTTCCACTGTAAATAAACCTCAGGCTGCAGGAATGTTTGTATTCAAATGCCACTTGTCCAATGGAAGTAATTCCTAATAGAGAATTTTGAAGGACAGGAATGACAGAATAATTGATTTTTAGTTTCTAAAGAGATGATTAAAAAAGAATAATGGTCAATATTATTGCAGAGTTTTAAAAAATCTATTTCCCTCCCCAATATCAGTTTAGTTTACCCTTTTTCTTTGGCGAGCTGGTGATCAAAGTAAGAAAAACATGTTGATTAAGAATACAGAATTTAGGTAAGCATGCTCCTAAAATATTTAGTCTACTTGTAAATTTCAAAATCACATTCCATAGCTTAAAGAAGAGCTGTAATTAGAATCCCTTGAATAGACAAACCCGCATTTGCTCTATTTGATACTTCAGTCATGCTCAACAGGAAGTTGCAGTATGTGTAAAGCAAATACACTTACTCCTAATTGCTATTTGTCCTATCCACTGTACAAAGATCAGTGACATCTATCTTACCTCTAGAGCTTTAAAACTAATATTAAAAATCACATTCTTCTCCTCATCTGTCTACTTTCAACTTGATTTCTTTTCTCTTTCTGCATCAAGCACTTGGAGCACTTCTCAATGAACTGTTGTATGGTTTATATATAAGCTATTCTCCCTGGAGGCTGCAGCTATTTTGTATCTTTGATATTATATATTCTCTTGCTTTGTATACCAGTTTGGGAAACAGTGTTCACCACTGCAGTTAAGTTATCAATAAGAAACAAATCTCTACAATTTTTAATGATTAGACTCATTTTTGAGACATCTCAAAATGTCTATATTAGACAATGAGTGGTCTAAGTGCATTTTAAAGATATAACCTGATTAAACATCAGAGAACTAGAAAAAGAAATTAGCACTGGTTAAAAATGTATTCAAAATTAATATAAGCAACAATGATCAATTTCCCTTCAGAAATTTGTTTCATTCGCAACTCCAGCCACGTTATCCTGAGGAAGTCATATTGTACGCTCCTTCCAGTATGTGTACCCAACAGACCATTTGGTTCCACTTAAATCATGTTGAAAGAATACATAATCTTGGCAGCCGATGTTCCATTTTTTATGAGTTACAGCAATTTATAGCATCCATTGGTGAAATAAAATGTAGGGTTTTTTTTCCAAAAAAAAGCTAACTTATAACCATCATGTGCTTCAGAAATTATTACCTTGTAATAAGAGAGCTGCTCATTGTTTTCTTATTTAATATATTTATTGCTCGTATCTACCAATCTGATTTAACAAATGACATTTAACACTGTTCAAGATTCTGCTCCCTTTGTATATAGCTAATCAGACTTGCCAAGAAGTCTACATTTTGCTACCCCTGCATCATGTTTATTTAGCTCATATCCTTGGATTCCATGACTGACCTAGAGTACAATGTCATTGACATTTCAGTCCTCCACAATCTGTAATTCAATTATTAACATTCAGTGAAGAAATGTTTATCTGACTAATAAAAGAATTAGAAAGGAAGGTTGATACAATGTCTATTTCAGACAACTGAACAAGTCCAAATTGCCAACAAAGATTCCATATCCCATCCAACACAAAAACCACAGTAATTTGAGTTGCAGCATTTGTAAGTGGGAAGAACAACTTTCAATAACACATATGTGCTGTCATTTTTCTATCAAAATATCCTACCAAGAATTTTAACCAGGCAAAGCCTATTGGTTCTTATGAACAATAGTGTGCTACATACAGAACAAAATAACATTTCCCCATCATCTCATTCTTAAAATTCAGTGTCTGGACCATCTGCTTTAAAAATGGAAGGAATGTGTATATTAAATGTATGGTAAGTACAGATAGTGTTGTTGAATTTTCTTTTTCTTATACGTTTCTAGATTTTTCTGATTAAAAAGGAATATTTTTCCAACTTTTGTATTCCTTCCGTTTTACCATAGTGCAAAATAAGATAAAAATGCACATCCATTAAAGCTAATTCCCGTTAAAAAAATAAGCATATAACAATAATCCAAATACAGCAATGCAGTTATTACTGCTATGGTCCAAATTTACAGATTTGGGAACACAAATTTAATATACCTTCTCAATGAAACTGTATGTTAATATCATTGCCATCCATCATTTTTACCTTAACTGCTTATGATACATAAGACATTAGATAAATGAGATTATATCAATTTTACAAGCCTTCACTTCTGGAATGGCACAAGATTACTTGTGCTCTATTTTAATCAACATATTTTAGGGATTTATTCTTTCAATTGCTGTATGTGATTAGGTTATTTCACATTAAATAAAAACCCTCATTGGTAATGCTTTTAGCTTTTATTGATTAGAGCTATTTTGGATGGATGTTAGATTGTACATAGAAAGATTCTTTTTAGGAAAGGATATTGTAATAGGAGAGGAGTAGGCAAGGAAAGAGAGGAGTAGGCAAGGAAAGCATCATTTTCTCAACACTTTGGGGCTTCTGTAGTATAATTTGCAATCTCTTCCAAATCCACTTAGTTAATATGACAAAAAGGGGGGAACTATGTTGGTCCTTGAGAAGAGGATCTTTAAAACATGTAACATAAAAGTCTTATTAAAATCAACTTAAGCAATGCACTATTCTTTTATTTTTACAGATTTATTCATGCTCCTTTTTCATTCTTTTTTTAAAAAAAAAACATTTCTTTTTCCAAACTTCACATTAAAAAATAGGTAAAGAAAAAAAAAAAGAGAAACTCCAACTGCAATATACCCCATTATAATGCAGTATGCATTTTGCCAACTAATAAACGTTTTCTCAGTAATTTTTTGACTCATATTGGGGAAAAAGAACCAACAGCCAATAATTATTCTTAAGGGTCCTGACAATATGGCATTTGTTATTTTAATAAAAATGTAGATTAAACATAGATGACTTCAGATACCAAAGTAACAAAGTAATGAATTAGTACAAAGTGAATGAACTCCCAGTAACCCTGGGATCCCTGATGATGATGGTGGTAGAGAACTAACTTTCCTGTTTTGAAAAAGGCAAAATAATGCAAAATGGAAGCATACGTTGTAAAAAACAATTGAATATAAGATTCAAGAGGACAAATCTAAAAACACTGATGAAGCTATACCAAGCAGAGGTGTTAGGTGTACTTGAATTATGTAAATCTCCAATTAATTGCTTTACCAAGTCTTTAAAAAAATCTATAAAATTCTAAGACTAGCATTGGGATTTTATCTACAGCCACCTTTTCAAACAAGGCTTAAATCAGTGAAGAAGAGAAAGTAGCACTATAAAGTGCAACAGATTTTCTTTTGCTACAATGGATTAGAGGATACCACTTTTTTTTACTAATTTCTTCATGCCTTCATATTTTTCCCAAACAGAATTCATCGTTTACAGTGCAATTCTATACGTATCTCCTGAGATCAGTAAGACTGATTCTCAGATAAGTGTGTATGGCATTGCAGCCTGTAAATGCATGAAAGTTAAAAGCTATATTTTTTTAAAAAATTATCTCGTTGTTTAATGCTGATTTTAATAGTTCCTTTTAAGTGAATTTATTATACTTCATATATTAGCAAGTTAAAAAAACGCTTTGAATTCATTAGATTCAAACCAGGGCCACTCTACTATATAATAATAAATTCTAGATCCTTTTTAGAAAGAGAGAAAAATGTTCACATCTGTCAGGTGGGCAGAAGTGTATGACTTCTGTAATAGCTACATTTTAAATCCTTGTTTATGACCTTTTCTTTTGCAATGGATGAAGAAAACTCTTCTGGAGTTCTCTTCAGTCACTTCCAAAACAGGCATCTGTAAACTTGATTCAAGATGTGTACACTGAAAAGCAGACTGCCATTTAATAATGGAAAAAAGAAAAGAGATGTTAGCTTCCAGTAATGGCAATGGCTTCTTCACGGTCAATCAGGCCTTACTAAGGCCTAGGAGACTTAATGTCCATCACAGCACCAACCTCACTTACCCATTTTTATTTTCTTTTGCAAACGTAATGGTTCACATATACATATTTTACACCTTGTAGTTATTATTACTATTCCAAATGCTCTCATCTGAATACAGGCATGGTCTCTATATTTGATATAAACATATCTTTATTCAACTTTTCATTCTAAAGCTGTTTGGTGTCCCAACTGCACATGAAAAAGGTTCCCCTTGTGTTGCATAAGAAAAAGTGTCCTTAGTCCAGAGGTTCTTGTTTTATTCGAATGACTGAAGATGAACGAGATGGTCTTCTTAGTTCTCGCTTAAGAACGTATTCACTGAATTGGGAAGAGTCCACTCCTCCCCCACATGAGCCAACAATTTTAAATCCTCTTTGTTGCAATCTTTCAAGTACCTGAACTGAATTGAGGTGACAGTATCCATTTAATGGAAATCTGATGACATGCGTTGAGTCATGATTCCAACCTGCATTGACTGAATTGCACATTACGTCACCAATTTCTGGGAAAACTTCTTCTATTAAAGATTTATCTCCACTCAAAGTAATTCTTTCTCCAAGATCCGGAGCAACACGTACAACCAAACACTCACAAGATTTCGAAAACCGGCCTGTCTCTCGATCCTGTTTCCATCTTTCCATTTCCCCTAGCATGGGCTGAAGCTGAAAATACTTTGCTTCTTCATATAACAAACTGTAATCCTGAAAGATACATGATGTTTAGAACCACAGTGAAAAAAAATCTCATTATATAGTATCTGAATGGTTATTATTTTAGTATAGTAAGGTAATAGCAATTTATGGATTACATTAACGGAAATATCTTTTTTTTTCAACTAATAAGAGGTTAAGGATATTTTCACATTAAAAGAGGCAGGTAGGCTGCTGTACTGTTTTGCGTTTATATTCTCTTCTTTATTACTCACAACATTGTGTTACATTACACACACATTCATACATTTACATATTTTATTGTGATTTATCATATGGAGATATATTTTAGCTTTGCATTTTATCATATGAAGAGAAAATGGAGATATTGGAGTGAAGAGTCCAACAGTAGGACAATGCCAGTAATTATTATTGGGGTTATTTTTACATGACTTCCATACAGTTCTGTTCATAATGCATACATGCAAAAGAGATCCAGGTGTGAGAAAATGCGTATAATAAATATTAATAAAAATATTAATAAATGTCAATATACAATTATACTCCAGTTTAAATCATTAAGAAATATGTGAAACCTTAGAAATAGGTTGTAGACAGCAAGATTGTAAGACTTATTTTGAAAGTATTACAATGATGTATATTAATTGATAAAAGCTGCCATAATTTTTTAAAAAATAAGACAATGGTTTAATGAAATTCTCTTGATGGGTTTTTTTTTTCTGTCTCGGTAAATATTTTTCTGTACCTGGTATGTAATGTGGTGTGACATTCTAAGCAAGCTAATCACAAACAAACGTATTCAGGCCTATCTGGAAATAAAGTTCAGTGAGTTCAATGAAACCCACAAATAAAAAATAGAACTGCATTATCAAATAATTACAAAATATTTTCATACATTTAATGTATCTTTTAAAAAAGGCTCCCAATATTAATCATTCAAATAGTTTATGGAGATTCTCAGTCATCCAGTCATGGTTGTCCCAAAGGTACTTTTTCAAAAGGCAATTAGATTTTCTTTGGTTTTCCTTGAAGACGTTTTGCTTCTTATCCAAGCTGAACACATTCAATTGTTCTGTTTCTACTATTAGACTTTCATTATAATAAATCTTTATTTTTGTAATAAATAAAAATTTACACATTTGTAGTTTACAATTTTAAGTAGTATTGATGTGCATGTATACACATATTAAGCTTTATACATTTAACGTGATATGCTTTTGTATGTCACATCTGGAAAACTGAAAAAAAATCTAACCCAAATTTTAGTGTAATAGAAAGTGCTCTTCTGAGACAGACTCATAGTGTTATAATAATCTGAAGATTATTGCTCAAAAAAAGTATGCATTGTCTCTATTTAAGCAATATACTTATCTATTATCTCTTTTTAACAACATATCTCTACATTTCTGATTTCTAAGAATCTGTCAGTATTATTCACAGCAGGTGCTTAAATTCACAAAAAGACTAAGAATTGACAAATTTCACTAAGCCAATATTTAGAGTTTGGGATTGAAGTATTTTGTAAATGCAAAATCACCTTTTTCATCACAGTCCAAGAATCTAAAATTCTACACTCAAAGATTCTAGATACTTGGAATAAAATTCAACTGAAATAATTTCTTAGGAATGAATTAAAATTATTCCCATTTAAATATCATGTTTTTTAAATGATATAAATTAGGATTCAATAAAGTATTTTTTATTTTACTTATCAAAATATGAGATACTTAAAAGTCTTAACTAGAAATAAAGCTTTTTTAAAAAAAAAGTATGATGATAAGTGGAGATTAACGGTAAATTACTAATTGAGTAGAACCAGTTTGGTATAGTAGTTAAGGCACCAGGCTAGAAAACAGGAGATTTTGAGTTGTAGTCCCATCCTAGACATAAAGCCACCTGGGTGATCTTCAGCCAATCATGCTCTCTGAATCCTACAAAGGAAATTATTCATTTCTAAAAATCTTGCCAAGAAAACTGCAGGGACTAGGCCAGGCTAAAGTCAGGAGTCATTTTTCCCCCACCTCTGTGTTTAAGAAGATGCTGGATAGTTCAATTTAATTTTAATTACTTAAATGAAATATTGAGTTTAGGATTGGATTTGATAGCCTAAACAGTCCCTTTCAACTCTAGGATTTTAAGTTTAAATTTGTGATTTGGACAGTAATAATTTTTTTCTATCTTTGGGAGGACTTGAATTTGGTGTCCACTCAGTCATGTAGTTCTTTCAGATTACATTCAAAATCAGAAGAGCCTTCAGATCAGATCATAAGATTGTTGTGACTATGGAAGCGAAAAGAATCTCATATGCCAATTTTACTCTCTGAAGAAAACTTGGGTAAATGTAAAAATACATATTTATGATTTCCTGAATCATGTTATAATATTGATTCAAATACAATAAGTCACATTAATAAACAAGCCACAGATATGGTTTAAATAAAGCATATCTATTAAAATTGGTTTACATGAAATATAAATTGTATAAAAGGTCCACTGGTTAATATCAAGGACTCATTTTACTCTGCATTTTGTTTCCAATAATAACCCCAAGACTGCAAGGTGACAAATATAAAAACAGGTCCCCCCCCTCCATTATTGTCCACTAGAAGTAAGTTTTCAGAAGCAAGCTGGTGATAAAATGGGATTAAGCTTCCAAAGCAAACATGGTTTAGCAAAAGATAATCAAGGCTGCATCTTCTTCAGCCTTTCCTCCTCTGCTGTCAATGCTCCAGTGCTGCAGCACCCCTGTCCCTCAATAGTATTAGCACCTTGCCTTCCTTTGCTTTTCCTTTCCTCCCCTCAGATGCCAATATTTGGATTTTTCTCTATCACCTTCAAGTGAATGTGCCCCAAAAGAACCAATCCATCTTGTTTACATATAAAGAAAAACAGCCCTGTTTCATTAAGTACAGGCCAAGACTTCTGAAACAGTTTAGGTTGAGACACAGCTACCTACCCAAAGGCAGTATACATCTGGCACAACCATATACTTTTAAAAATAGAAGTTGACTATTGCTTTGCTCATTTCAAATATCCATTTTAATTATCTATACTTTGCCAAAACCAATCAAAGCAATTATTTCCCAAGTGTTTTACTATTGTTAACTAGTGTTACTCAAACAATTGCTTCATAATCCTTCTGAAGATGACAATAAATACAATTCACCTTGAAATCATCCGGGATGAGCAGTTTTGAAGTTCGTAGAAAATTCAAAATATATCTGAACATTTGGCCATCTCTGTCGATGAAGTAGTGCTGCTTCAGGCTATCCAAAACAATGGGCTCTGTGCCATCAAATAGCCTCCCAATTCTGAAAATAAAAGAGAAATCAAGACCAGCATAAATTTGCCATCAGCACACTTAGCCATTAGTAAGAAATAAATCCTATTATCTTAATGGCTTGATTTCATAGTGTTTCAATGTCTAATCAGCTAGTTACAATGAAAACAGAGCAACAAGGGTATCATCTCTCTTTCTATAGTTTCTTAAAGCTGATCTGGGAATAAACCAATTGAGCTAAGTGACGGTTTTGTTTAGGGAAATATACATAGGATTGTACAATAAAATATTTGGTATTACTCGATGAAGACCTATCAATTTTAAGGATCTTTAACCATTTCCTTTAGTTAAAATATAAACATCCAGGATAGAAATTACAATAGTCTTCTCTGCCTCTAAATAATCCAAGAATTTAACACTCGACTTTATTTTTGTTATACTCAAGATATTTATTTTTTCATTCTTAAAATTTGACAGAAAACTTCAATTTAATCAAAGGCTCTTAAGTAAATTGCCATAACATAAGAAATGGTTCCTTTTATGAGTCACTAACCACTAACTAAGAATAGGAACAAATAAGCAGAAAATCTACAGAGGTTGCTAAGAGCAACCATGAACTATGGTGACACAGTGGTCACAATGCAGTACTGCAGGCTAACTCTGCTCACATTGCCAGGAGTTTGATTCCTTGGATTCTTACCAGCTCAAGGTTGACTCAGCCTTTCATCCTTCTGAGGTTGGTAAAATGAGAACTCAGATTGTTGGGGGCAATGTGCTGACTCTGTAAACCGCTTAGAGAGGGCTGTAAAGCACTGATAAGCAGTATGTCAGTCTAAGTTCTATTGCTATTGCTATGAAGGCATGGCATATAAATCAAGCAATCAAATCTGGGTGGAAAGGAATAAAAAGTTGAGTCCCCCAATTTATAGCAAATTTAAGTTGTTATAAATGCCCTTGGAGATTAGTCAATTTGGTCAACTCTGTGTGATTTGACACTAATATTCAGGATGCTAAAATACAAATGTAATTATAAAGGATACCAATATACTGGTGAACAATTTAGCAAATGATAAATATAGTTCAATTTAAGTAAATATATATATACCCTGAGGTAAAAGAACTTAATTTCACATATAAACTGCCAAGCTCTAATGTAACTGTAATTAACAGATAATTTTGGTTTAGTTTCTGATAGCTGTGAAAAAGGCAAAATATCATAATTATGAAAATTAAATATTTTAATATTTTAAACATATTAAATTATTATTTTTAAATCAGCATTAGGAAAGCGTTTAAAATTAAAATGTCATCATACATATCTATGGCATTTCTGCAATCTTAATATTGTGTACCATTCTGATTGCCAGATTTGAGAAGGATGGTAAAGTAGCTGGTACTCCATTTTCTATTATGTCTAGCTAATCAGATATAAAAACATAACTAATAACTTTTAAAAGAAACACGTTTTCCTGCGCTAAAGGGTTTTTCTCCTCCCTTGCCCAGAACCACCAATGACATCATCTTCATAAGAAAATATTTAAGAATACATTAGAACAATTTAGCCTAATTTATAATTTTAAGTTTCGTGTACTTTTTAGTCAGCAAATGTTAAAAGAATGCGACATAATTCAAAGAAATGGATTGCCATGAATTACTGCTTTTTTACAAAATTAATCAAAAAAACCAAACTTGTTGTTGTTCCCTGCTGTGTTCTCTGACATCAAGGATAGATTATTCCTGTCTCTTTGCTAAGTATATAGACACATTTATAAGCACAATCAACCCTCCATCATTTTCCCCCTCCAATAATGGCTAGGGTGCCTATGTGAAACCTAGGAGAATTCTTCAAAATAAAGATGATTCTCAATCTGGTGATTTGCAGCATGTCACTGTCACATTGTTTTTTTAATTAAATATTTGAAAAAAGAGTGAAATGGGAGAATGTACAGGCATCTCAAAAAGTATCAGTTCAGTAGCATCCTTCTGCATGTTGAATGTCATTTGAAGTCAGAATATAACATTTTGGGCAAAAGTAAAATGTATGAATCTATTTGTTTTCCATAAATATCGAACAATTTTTTTTAAAAAAAAAGGTCATATACCATGTGTCTGTTGCTGCTGTTTCTCCTATTAACCACTGCCCCACCTTTAGAACATAACATTATCCAATGTTCTGACCCTTGTATGCGCTTCTTCAGGCAATTTCTATGTATACTTCTCATTTAGGTCATTTTCAGTAATCATCAACTAAAGTAAGGAGAAGTAGCGGAAAATGTAAAGTGAGTGACTGTATTTTCAAACCATCTGTTTTTACTTTGGAATCACTGACCTTCTATTGAACTTCCTGAACATCTATTTTGATTTTCATGCTAGAAAGGGTGCAACCAGAAAGTACTAAATGGTAAGTAGAATGGATTTCATTTAAAAGGTTCAATTTAATTATTTAAAATACAATATAAAAACTTACGAAGATCTTAGTAACTACCGTACTACTAATCTTAGTAAAAGTGCTTTTTTGTTTATCAAAAATCAATTTACTTCATTTTGTTTCATTTTAGAAGGCAGTTACTATACACTTAAGATCTCTAGTCTGTGACCATGATAAATTATATCTATTATATAATAGAGGAAAATGTATTCTAGTTTTTAAAATGAATTTGAATTCAACATTTGATTGACTTCAGTGTATATGTGTTATGGAGAGCAGTACAGTAATACATTGTATATTACTGTTATTACTGAAACATATATACATAATATATTTAAAATTGACTATAGATAGTCCTTGATTTATGACCAAAATTGGGACTAGAATCTTGGTTGTTGATCTTAGAAGTTATTATGTGAAACTTCATGCATTAATGACTACAGCCCCAGCACTCACAATTGTGGTCATTAAATGATCACACAGGTTAAATGGATGAAATCCCAGGTAAGGAGCAGGGGGTTCTTCAGGGGGGTTGGGGAAGGCCCTGGGTGGCTCAGTTCAGAAGCTGCAAATCCTTCCTGCTGAAATCCAAGGATTTTCAGCCCCTAATCAAAAAGTGGCCTGTGCTGGGGCTCCCCCCACCTTTCTATGGACCCCACACTCTTTGCCTTGTTGGACTGTCTTCCTCCTTGAGTTTCACCTCGGTCCCATCACTGGGGGTTAGCTGAAAAAAGCAAAGACCATGCTTTTGGTTTTCTGATAATTGAATACTAGCTCGGCTTTGCTGAAATACTGTGCTAATGTTCTGAATGCTCTTTTAAGGCCAACATATATTGCTAAAAATATTGCTGCATCATTTGCATAAGATAAATCAGAAATGTATCTTTCAGCAAGTTTTGGAAGATAAAGGTAAAAGAAAAACCAACGGTACCCACTCCTGGATTTGGAGGCCCTACTCACGGTCACTCTTCTGACTTATCTCTGCTTCAATTTTAGCAATGTACTCAATGTGGACTGTCCTGCAACTGCAGTTGGTCCACAAAGTGTCAGGATGAGTAGCTACATATGGATATACCTTGATACGCCCATGTAACATTACTGCATAAATTCTAATAATTTTCAAGGTAGAATTCAAAGTTTTGGTTATCTCCTCTAAATTTGTCTTTCATGTTACAAAATTAGTAGTAATAACCTTACAATTTACAAAATAATGCAATTTCATTAGCAATAAAACACCAAAATTCACTCCTGTTTAAATTCATATTTTAAAAGGAAAGATGAATTTGCTAAATTTTATATGGGTTTCAGCTTGAAAAAGGACGTTGGTCTTACCTGAACGTCTATTTTCAGAGTGGAGGAGGGAGTGGTCACGTGTGGGTTTTCTCTTAGCCTGATTGGTCCAAAGACTGAGAGCAAAGCTTTAAATACTGGTGCCTTTCTATCCTGGCCCAGATTCTCGAAGTCGAACGGTAGAACTGAAACAACAAAAAACAACCACAACAAACCCCGGGAACACCCGGGCCCTCCCCTTGGCCCCAACGAACACAACTCAGGGCGGGTCGTGACCACTCCCTCCCCCATTCTGGAAAAAGACGTTCAGGTAAGACCAACATCCTTTTTCCAGAGGGGGGGGAGGGGGCGGTCATGTGTG